GCTTGTAACTGCATGAACCGGTCGCCAGTAAGGTCCCTTTGTTCTGGTACCCCCAGGATTGACCAAGTGACAACTCACGTCCAGGCCGTTGCAACATGTATGTTCAGTAATTCAGCGTCAGGCCTACGGGTAGGGTTCATAAGCGTCCCAGGGAGGTTAGTCTTACTGCTCGTTCCTACTTGGTCCCCATGACACAACCAGCGTAGTATGGTCACTGGAGATAGAGATTTGTGAGGACGTGGTCTTTAGGCTAAACACACGGATTAGGCACGACTTCTGTTAGCGTGGTTGTCACGGTGTATTTTTACCATTTGGATTCGGTATATGGTACGGAAGTTGGAGCGTATGTACCGACTTCTTCTGACAATACACCGCTGGATGCACTGGCCGTATAGCTACTGTCTCAGCTATTCTGCTAGAACATGTTGAAGTAGGCCTTTAAAGTAGCTTGGTGGTACCTGGTAGACAACCAGTCATCCGCAGGCCAAAGTGGCGTCCCACACGAGCCTCGAACTCGCTTTCTCGTTGATCAGATTCAAGTCCCTTAGCCACTAGGCCACGGGCCCGTTGTGTCGGTGGTTTAGGTCAGGGGGATATCGACGCTCATTGATGAACGTTCACCCGAACCGCTAGCGGAAATCATCTGTCTCACTCTGCTTAGGGTCTCGACAGAGGCCCTAACAGCCGTAGCAACTGGTATTATAGGCAGATAGAATTGCTGGCAAAGATAAGGGAGACCGGAATGGCCATTTCTGGCTTATTAGCAATCGTCAGCCAGTCATATCCAGACCCAAGTTGCGTCCTACCCAAGCCTCGAGCCCGCGACCTATTTGATCAGAGGCAAGCGGCCTAATGTCCTTACACAAAATTCCAGGCAAACACCTCTGATCTTCCTGGTAGTAAAAAAGCGACTAGAAAATGCATCGCTACAGAAGAAGAGTTCAAACGAAGTGGCGTTTGCATAATTGCAAGCAAACCGCGAGTTGCCGTAGGTCAGTCGACAGAGTAAACATGGACGACTATCCACCTCCTACGAGACGCGCACTTTTTTATGCCAGACTACTTTCTGATTGCATAGATTAGCAGGTGTCTGGTGAATGCGACGTTCTCTGCATGTTCACTTTGCTCTTAAATGCATTCACGCAGGCGGAAACAACAACAGCTTCGGGCAAAGCGTTACACGCTGCATTCACTCCGCTGCTGAGCAAAATACTTGCATCCGCTGATCTCTCCTTTGCGTGGGCGTACTTGTTTTAGAGGGGTTGACTGCGCGCAGTGGGCGTGTTAGCCTGGGGAAAAGTAGTCAACGAAGAAGTAACAGTCCAGGTCATTCATACTGCTGAAAGTTATTCCCTCACAGTTGCCTATAGGCCAGGGGAAGTTAGTCGAAGGTCGACAGTCTGACTACGTAGCAGTGTTCCTAGACATTTGCTTGCCCTTCAGCCTTCTCTTACAGTCTTTGACGGCCGAATTATGCTTGCAAATATTTTGGAAAAGCGGCATTTTACAAAGCCCGTGAAGGCTCACCTAATGAATAGTAATATATGCTAGGTCTAGTGTTGAAGTTAGTACAGGGTAGATGTAACCTTCCTCTAATTACGCACAGGGCCATCTCCACTACTCAAGTACGACGCTCATATTCTTGCGTCCAATTTAGTAAAGGAGTCTATAAATAATCCTTGCCAGTGCTTTTTATCAACTAGACGGGCCGGAATAGAAGTGAAATTGTCTTATTTCCACAGGCCATTCATAATGCTGAAGGTTAATAGGAGATTTCCTCGCTGTTGCCTGTAGGCCAGGGGCTAGAAGGTCGAGGGTCGACAGCCTATCTTGGTAGACAGTGTTCTTAGACCTTCGCTTGACCTGTGGGCCTTATTTTAGAAAGTACAGTCTTTGACGGGCATAGGTCTCCATGCCTGTATTTAAAACCTTTTAGGTGCAGCCGAATGATGCCTGCAAATATTTTGGAAAAGGGGTCTTTTCTAAACCTTATAAAGGCTTACCTAATTAGGAGTGATATATGTTAGGTCTAGTGTTGAGGTCAGCACAAGGGAATATCTACCCTTCCTTTAATCACACACAGGGTCATCTTTATTACTTAGGTGGGACGGGCCCCTTCTCATCTCCTCTTCAGGTGACCCTATAAATCACACTTACCAGTGCCCTGTATCAACTAGATGGGCCGGAATAGAACTCAAGTTGTCTTTTTTTCGCATCATCCCAGCCGGTGAGGTGTGCGTTCACGTAGCCTCAATTGTATGGACAGATAGTAACTCGAGGCAACAGGGTCCTGGTGTTAAAATTCCAACATTCACTTGTATTTAGGGCTTGATGGTCAACGTTCGGTTTTAATCTATTTTTTAGTATACTCTATTATACCTTTCGTGCTTTTAGAGTATACTTCCATTGTTACCACTGGATGCCATAAAGGATGCTGCGAGGCACGCAGATTTGCCAAGATCGTTGCAACGAATGTAAGCATTATTTGCTTATTGGGGTGTACAACAACATAATCCTTCACTTTTGCTAAGAACGGGGACAATACTATTCTTACCCGTGGTTAATTTGAAAAGCTGTGTTTGCTTAATATACGGTTATTGTATGCGTAGGCCTTCCTAGGACGCCTCGTACAATCCCTACTTGGTCGACGGCCGACGTGTAATATAGGGGAAGATTGTGGGTAATTCAATCTACTTAAAACTTGTAAGTAGGTGGATATAATACATAAGGACCCGAGAAGAAGACGACTCGATCGCTGTATTGTCCCGGCGATCGCACTTGTTCTTATCATTCAGCTTCGGCTGCTAAAGGTAGTAAACATTCTTTGGCATTTAATCCAACTAGTGAATGTCTATTTACGCTTGAAAGAATAGGAGTCTCTGGCGCCTCAGATTTGGGCACTTTGTTTCCACACTCTACGAGCCACTGTACAAACACAAAATATCTGTCATTCCGCGCAGGTTAATTCCAAACTGAATAGAGGCTTAATAAAAGGCTTACACGTTGGTAGCATAAGTAACGGATACTGCTTTTGTCCCTGCAAAAATACTTTACGTCGTTTGCGCTTGTTATTCCTGTGCATTTTTGCAATGAAGAGCTTAGAAATAGTACTTGTCACGTAGGACACAAATTATAACAGATTTCTTTAAAATTTTTGTGTTTTGAGAACACCCCCGCCGGAACATTTAAATGCGTGCTTCTGTTTTAGTGAAGTCGGAAAAGAAAACAACATCCAACACATGCTTCGTAAAGTAAAGCGGGCTACTGGTAGAGTGACCGTCAACGATATTGACGCCTTGGCAACAAAGGCTCGCGAACAGAGCGTTGAATTCAGGAGACGCGTCTCTCAACGGGTTTCCCTCCTTGGTGTCGGTGGGCTGATTGAAGACTACCAGGATGAAGAAGAAGGAGTGTAAGTATCTTCTGTGTCTCATTCACATTGCTCAGAGAAATACGACTGCTAGGTTATTCATAAACATTCATCTTACGTGAATTATGCCAGTGTAGTAGGATGAACGTTTTTGAAGTACTAACATTACGACTCAGAATTCGTGCAATATGCCGACATTTGCAAAAGATTTATGCTCGACGGCTGGTCAGTATTGAGTAGGGTTTTCATATTGATTATCGTGTAGCCTATACAAAAGTCATTTCTATTAAGATCTGATGCCGGCTTTTCATCAGATTCCTCCTGACCGCTAACAAAAATTAGCTACTGTAAAAAATGGCCACGTGAGTAGTATGCATTTCCATCATTAATTTAGACTGCCTCTATAAATTCAAATATGTTTTATGAAAAAAATAAGCAAAGATATCCTTTCTCTTACTGCTTTGGTAGCCAATTACGCCTTTTTTTAATTGCATACTTAAAGAAAGGCTATCTTTTGGTTGAAAAAAGGTTTATAAATTGTGAATAATTTTGAAACTTGTCGACTGCTTCACCTGAATTCAAGGTTTACAAACTGCACACTATCTGCGTCCTCTTCAGGGAAAGGTAGGTTTTGCCTAGGGTTTATAGAAGAGGGCGCTTCGTTTTCATGAAATATTTTAATAGACGTGGACCAGGATTTAGTCATTATAGACAGTTCAGAAGAAGAGGATGCGGTCACTGGAATAAGAGTTTTATTTTCCTGACGTTTCG